GGGGTGTCCTCTCCCCGCCTGCCCCCCACACCCCCACCCCTGCACGTACCGCACGCCGGCCTGGCCACTCCCACCCTCTCGTGCACCCAGAACCCCTCTGTGTCTCCGGGCTGAGCTCATCAGCAGCATTTCTGTGTGGAGGGTCACACTGCCTGTGGCCCGACCTCGGCCAGCCGTGCCCCTGGTCTCCGGTCTCCTCATCCCCGGAAATAGAGTGGCTGCTGTGCACGGCCCTTCTCCTCGGCTGGAGACCCCGGGCCTTCGGCTCACCCTTTATCCCACCCAAGAGGACCCCGGGGGTCGGGGCCAGAGGGCAAAGAGCCATCCCACCGCCTGACTCGGCTCTGAGTGTGGCAGGATGGCAGGAGGGGGGCCACGGGCCGAGCGGGGGGTGGACGCCCTCGCCCTGGCCCGGGAACCCCTTCCTGCACGGGTGGGCTTGCCGAGGGGGTCTGGCTCAGCCTGGCGGAGGGCTTCCAGCCTGCCCTTTGCCCACAGGGGGAGCGTGCCACGGGCTTCGGCGTGGCTCTCCTGCTGGCACTCTTCGGCCGGGCCTCTGAGGACCCTCTGCTGAACCTGGTGTCCCCACTTGGCTGTGAAGCGGATGCCCCGGAGGCCGACGCGGAGAGGGACTCCAAGAGGCGCAGGCTCGTGTGAGGCCGGCCGCTCCCCGGCCCCCTTGTGACACAAGGCTCTTTACCTCACTTTGCACTGATTAATTTTAAGCAATTGGAAGATTATACCTTAAGATAGGCTTTGGTTTGTTTTTATCTTTAGTTGTCACAGTGATAGAAACAGCTCCTTCGTTAAGACAGCTCAGGGTCTGGGGGATGGCCCGGGGGGGGGCGGGGGCGCTGGGGCTTGCGGCTGTTTGAGTTACCCGCCAGGCCTCCTGCCGGCTTCTTCACACTCTCCTCCCTGCAGGGGCCTCCGCACGCACGACCTTGAGGCTCCGGGACGCACAGATGACCCTGCCGCCTTGGCCAGGTGGCCTTTGGGCCTCCTGTCCCTGCTCAGTGCCCGCAGGGGGTGCCCGTGGCCTTATCCTTGGCCCCCAGCCCCCTCGCATGGCATCCACGTCATGGAGAGCCCAGGCCGTGCTCCAGCCAGGGCAGCTGCTGCCTCCAGGCAGCCCACCCCTTTGAAAGGATGGAAGTAACTTGTTTCAGGGACCCAATTTTACGGAAGCAAGAGGAGTCCCTGGAGGGTGAAGTAAATATGGCCACATCACATTACACCTGTGTCTCTGCCTCGTCTTTCTCTCACCCTGGTTGGGAAACCCACCCTGAGGCCTGTCCGTGGTTCTGAGGCTCCCGGCCCTCCCACCTTCTCAAAAACCGGTATCCAGCATCGAGATGCAATGTGGCAACCTCGCTCTGGCCGACGAGAGCCCCGGGGTGTGGGAAGAGGACGGGGGTGGGGCCAGAGTCCTGGGTCGGTGCCCGCACAGCCCAGGCTGGTTGGTTTTCTGAGGTTTCACGGTGTGGACTCCCAACGGGAGGCCCCTGGGGCTTTCTGGGACTCTCCCGTGGTCCTGTGGTCTGCAGGGAGGGCTGTGCTCGCCCTGCGTACATCACGAGGCGAGTACCATACTGAGTCGATCATAGGTGCTGAAGGACAGGCTGTCGGGAGACTCCCTCCCCCCACCAGCACCCTTTGTGGCAGGTGAGGCAGGACCTTTGTCCCCTCTTATGCTCTACCCCGGTGGGCTGCCTGAGCCCAGAGGAAGGCATCGGGGACTCTGGCACCACCTGGCATGGAGGAAGGGGCCACATTTCCTCGGGTGGGGACCAAGGGGGAGAATGTGGCTGTGGGACACAAGTCACCAGGCTGTGCCCCGGCCCCCTGACCACCTCATCCCTGCCCAAGGGTCCCTAGGCTCCCAAGTCCCTTCCCCAGCTCTGGATATCAAGGTGACTCTCTCTGGGCGTAATCCCAAGCTAATATTTATTAACTGCCTGCTGTGTGCACAGTCCCAGCCGGGCCCGGAAAAGGCCGGGAGCATCTCTGAGGCCCCAGCCCTGTCTGGGAAAGCCCTCACCCGACACGTGAACTCACAAATAGCAGTCACAAGGTGGTAGGTGGGCTCCGTGAGGGGAGGGGAGGCGTGGTGGGTGGCCAGAGGGGCCGGGAGCCTTCACGGTTCATTAGCCTGCTTAATGGCCTCGCAATAGGGCAGCTCTCTCCAGCTTCCCTGAGATGCCCTGGAGGAGGCAGGGGTCACCGAGGTGGCCTCGCTCCTTCTCCGGGCAGCTGGCACTGTCCACTCCCCCCACCAGGGGGCTGCAGGATGCAGGGTCAAGGAGCAGGGGACGAACTGAGTCTCCCTTGTGCAAGCACAAAGGCAGCCTCAGGGCCAGGGACCCAGCTGGGGACCAGCTGCATGCCCGGCGTCAGGGGGACCGTGGGGGTGAGCCGACGGCTTCGCTTTCCCAAGAGCCAAAGGGGCTTAGGACACGACGGCCGCTTCCCCTGGCCGCACCAGAGCCTCAGCAGCAGGGTCGGGGGGTGGCCAGTGGCGGGGGGCAGGCGGGCCCTGACGGAGCCCCCCGATCGCGGTCTCCGGCAAACGGCTCAAGAAGACGGAGCCTAGGGGCGCCTGGGTGGCGCAGTCGGTTAAGCGTCCGACTTCAGCCAGGTCACGATCTCGCGGTCCGTGAGTTCGAGCCCCGCGTCAGGCTCTGGGCTGATGGCTCAGAGCCTGGAGCCTGTTTCCGATTCTGTGTCTCCCTCTCTCTGACCCTCCCCCGTTCATGCTCTGTCTCTCTCTGTCCCAAAAATAAATAAACGTTGAAAAAAAAAAAAAAAAAGACGGAGCCTGGCAAAGGCCTGCTGTCCAGCGTCCAGCTGACCCAGCGCACGGACCGGAAGATGGGGGTGCAGAGTCTGGGCGCCCCGGCCACACCAAGCGGCTCGAAGCACCTGCGTGCCCGAGAGGTGCTCTGTCACCGCCCACCCTGAGAGCCTGCCAAATGGGGGGGAGGCCTGCAGGTGTCAGCACCCCCGTCCCAAGAGAGGAGGCCGCAGCCCTGCTCCGTGGGGTGGGACAGAGGAGCAAGTGCTGGCCCTCGTAGGCCGGGAGGCATCCTGCGGGTGGGCCTGGGAGGGGCTGCCTGGCCTGGAGCAGAGCACAGGTCACCTAGCAGGCAGGAATGAAGGAGGAGAGGCAGGAAATGTCTCTTTTGGTGGAGAGAATTCCCAGCTTCCTGCTGGGAACCAGCCAGCTTCTCCAGGGCTTGGCAAACAGGTGGGGGGACAGCAAGACCCCACTCTGCTCTGTATCAGAGGACCTGGCCCCAGATTCGGTCGTGAGTGCCTTGTGTAACGATAAAGCACAGGGCACACAGGGCTCTTGCCCCCACCTCCCAGGGCGGTTCTGGGGAACAGGGCGAGCAGGGGCCTGAGAGTGCTGAAAAACCCAGGGCTCGGGCAGGCTCTCAGGCCTGGGGGAGGCTGATGGGGCCCCCCCCCCCAGGAAGCCTCGGCGACAGAGGATTTCTCAGCCCTGCTGCCTCTGCACTGGGCTCCCGGAAGCGGGGCTGCAGCCGGGAGGAACCGCAGGCTGACAGCGCGTCCTTGGGCACGCACAGACCGTGGGCCCGGGGCCGGGAGGGCCCCCCACCCCCTTGGCCCAGGTTGGAGGCGGCTGGTGCAGCAACCGCCCCTCCTGTCCGGCCTGGGTCACGAGAACCTGCCTGATCCCCAGACACCCACACGCGTTTGCATCTGTCACTTCCCATGTCCGTGCCACCAAAAATAGGGGGAGCGGACCTGATTCAGAGAAGCAGTTGAAACAGAATGATATCATTGCCATTCAGGGAATGCTGATCGTTCAGTCATTCCAGAAAATCCCACCCCACCTCACTGCCCCACTTTAATTACCCACCCTCTGGCCGGGGCTGGCAGTGCTCCCAGGAGACCTTTTGTGCTCCCCCCACAGGCAGTGCAGCCTCCGCTCGGGCACAGCATGGCCGGATGCCCCACTGCAACCCGTCTTCTTGCTCTGTGCGGGGACTCCCACCCCAGACCCCCTTCCTGTGGCACCTCCCGAGGGCCCTGTGTTTGCAGTCGGCCTGGAAGGGTCAACCTTGTCCCCTGGGGCACACTGGCAAGCCCCCTAAAACTCTCGGGCAGCCCCTGACGAGCACATCTGTGGCCCCAGCAGCCCCCTCCCCCGGTACATGTTTATGGAGTTTGAATTTGCTACGTGATTCTCTGCCCAGGGCCCCTGTTCAGGCTGTGTTCCCTGGTGAACCGATGTTCCGCATTTTTGTTTATTTGTTTGTTCTTTAACAAAAGGTTGTTTTGGTTTGAAATTCAGCAAAAACACACGCTGTATTCGGCTTCCTCTCCATTCAGAATTCAGTAAATTAGTTGTTTTCCAGTCTGCTTCGAGTCCTTGCCTCAAATGAGCCTCCAACAAGATAATGCATTTAAAAGCCCTTGGAAAAGTACCAGGCCCCACGCACATGTGACACATTGTCATCATGCGAGCAGTTCGCTCAGCCCTGCGCCCCGCACCCCCCAGAGCTCAGCTCTGGAGAACTCTGGCCAGGCGGGGGTCCCTGCACCCACCCCGTGGATAGGGCTCTGGAGGGGACGCCCCCGGGGACTGGGCCTGCTCTCCCTCCTGACGGCCCCTGGTTCTCTCTTCCCATCTGGGGGGCAGGGGGACAGGGACGTGAGGACAGGGGCATCCGGGAAGCCAGTGCTCCCTCAAGACGTGGAACAGGTCCTTACGGACTTCCCACTGGGGGGCTGCTTTTGCTTGAGTTCCCACTGGGGTCCTGAGAGCTTTGGGGATGAGTCCAGGGAGGGAGCATTCTTCAGTCAGGAAAACAAAATGAAAAGCAAAACCCCCAGGTTGGAAAGCTCTGAGGCCTGATTTACATTCACCATGAGCACAGTGAGAACACTCACTGTGGGGGAGCCTCCGCCGCCTCGCCCTGCCCCCACCGGGCTGGGGGTGTAGGAGGCCTCCGCTCAAGTCACAACTACAGGCCTCTTCTTAATGCGACGCTCTCCCTTTCTTCCAGCGGGGTTTCAGTGGATTTCGGCGGATTTTCTTCCAGTGGATTTCCGCAGCGTCCCCCAGCGTGCTTGGTCCAGGGTGGTGACGGACAGCTTCCTCATCCAGGGGTATCTATGCAGTGCCACCTGTATACAACCCCTGAAAAGCTCACCCCTCTTGTGGGAACCCTGCTCCGGGCCACGGTGGTTCCCAGCAGCCTCAAAGGCGGAGCCAGCCCTGAGGGAGGCTGGACGCAGACCACACCCCCAGCACCCAGGGGGTTGGGGCTGAGTGAGGCAGGGTGCTGGAAGGATCCCGCAGGCCCACCTCAAATGCTCACTTTCTTGTACCAACCAGGGGGGCGTTCCTAGCAACCCCTGGAAGAGTTTCGTAAGCAGCGTGCCCAGCACACAGCGGGTTATCCTACGTCCACCCAGGGTGTGGGGTGTGGAAGCTAGTGCCTGCTGGGAGGGGCTGGGGACCCTCCACCCAGGCGGCCCCTGCCCTGCACCTGATCGCTGCCTGCGGCCACACCTGTGGATCCTTAGCGGCAGGCGAGAGGGCAGCTGGGGGCAGGCTCCCAGCTGCCGGAAGGAAGGCCGGTGGGCCGAACTCAGCACGGGGAGGGGGCGGGCGCCCGAGGACG